GAATAAAATCAACTTGAATATTATTATCCATCTTTTAATGTACTTCTTCATTCTCTTTGAGTAAATTTGACTTAACATTTACATAAATAAATGATGTTATTCTGAAATATGTGAAGTTTTTCTTCCTTTTTTATGCTCTGGACCAGCTTAGTTGCATTAAAATTATCTCTTCCTTAAGTAATTGCTCTTAGAAATTTTCCTATGAAACTGCTGGCCTGGTGCTTTTGAGAGAGAACTTTTTAACTTTCCTTCCCTTCCTTCCTTCCTTCCTCCTTCTGTTCCTTCCTTCCCCTCTCTCTCTCTCTCTTTTTCTTTCTTTTTGTGATGGCAATTAGTACATTCAAATTTCCTGGAGTTATTGTTTATAATTTATATTTTCTAGAAAATTACCCATTTGATCTTATATTTCAAAATTTTCTCAACAATTTGAGAATGTTGTTCTTCTTAAAATTAAAAAAAAAATTCTTCATTTACATTATATCCCTTTCTTCATTTTCCATTTTATTCACTTACGCCTTTTCCCTTTTTCTCTTGATTAATTTATTTTTCAGTTTATTTGTCTTGTTGGTGTTTTCCAAGCACCAGCTTTTAGATACTCTGCTGTTTTTCTGTTTTCTGACTCATGCAGTCTGGTTTTATTTTTACTGGGTTCTTCCTTCTGCTTTTCTTTCATTTATTTTGTTCTTCTTTTTCTAACTTTCTGAGCTGGATGCTTGATCCATGTAATTCATGCGGCCTAAGTATTTAAGGCTGTTCGTTTTTTCTCTGAGCACTTCGACCATATTCTTTAGGCTCTGGCAAGGGATATCGTCCTTAGCCTTGTTTTCAAGATACTCTGAAAGTTTAGTTTTATACAGGTTAAGTCATTTACAAAAATTTATAGGTGGTAGCATTCTAATTTTGTTACTAGTTTCTAGAATTTTTTGTTTCTATCTCCACCTTTATATTTCCGTTTTGATCAGAGACTGTTAGTTACGTTATTTTTACTTTTCAGCATTAAAGTTTTCTGTGTGGCCTGGTGTTTAATCATTTTTTTGGTGAGTGTTCCCTGTCAACTCGAAAATAAATCATAGTATCTCTTTGCAGGGCACAGTGTTCTATATAAGACAATGAGATCCACCTTATTAACTATGTTATTGGGTTTTATATGTCCTTTTAAATTTTTGTCCACTTGTTCCCTTTGAATCCCTAAAATGCTGTGAAATTGCATGCTTGACGAATGAATGTGTGATGTAGAACTCTCTGTGGTCAGCTAGAATTGTGTTGTGTTTTTTTCTTTTACAGCCAAAGATAGCCGAGGAAAACTTGACCTACGCTGAGCTGGAGCTGATCAAGCCCCACCAGGCAGCCAAAGGCCTCCCCACCAGCACGGTGTACGCCCAGATCCTCTTCGAGGAGAACAAGCTGTAGCACCGCCTCCTGTTCTGTGGTTCTGTTTAATGCCTGCCACCCAGTAATTTATGGAACCTTGGAGACAAGGTCCTTATTTTTGTATTTTCACTTGTGCCTTCTGAGTGGTGGGGAGCCCCTTTCCAATGGCATCCCAGGTGCCTTCACCAAGAGGTACGAGGCTGCTCCCCACAAAGGAACAGGGGCCACAGCCCTTGGACAGATCTCCCAGGGCAAAGTGCTTCTGGGCCCAAGCCCCAGCGCCAGGACTGATTCTGAGGGCGCCCAAGGAGATTTTCTGCTGAGCCAAATCCCTTCACGTTTTCTTCTTCTTTCCCTGGGTTTTACTTTTTAAATATCTTTTGTAAATCATAATTTTACTCTTCTGCCCTTCCTGTATCCGTGGTAGAAGCTCGCAGTGTACAGCTAGAGGGAGCGTCACTGCAGGCCGCAGTACGAGGTGGCAGACACATGGCGATTGGCTTCCCAAGGACCAGCTAACATTGCCAGGGCCCCGGCCCGCAGCAGACTGCCGACTGCAAGCAGCCCTTAGGATGGGGTGGTGTCTCTTGTTTTAAATGGGTGCATTGACCCTGGAGATTTAAGGACAGAGGGCAGATGGTGGGGAAGTCCGGGGCCTGTCTCTGAATACCATGCCTGGCTGCCCACCCATGATTCCCTGAGGCCTCAGGACAAGTAGAACACCCTTCTAGAGGGCTGCCATCCCTTCGGCAGGGTGGACCTATACTGATACAGAGAGACATTCTCCAAGAGTTCTTACTCTTTTCTAAAGGAGCAGAGGCCTTGCCAGCCATGGCACCCTGGAGCGGTGGGCCCCTCACAGTGTGCAAGCTCAAGTAGCCCTAACCGAAAGCCCACTCTGGGAGAACCAAGTCTGCTGCCGGGACCCCGCAGGGCAGGAGAGTGGGAAGTGCAAGCCAAGGTGCAAAAATGTCTTCTGGAGACCCTACTCTTGCCAAATGCCTTGCCCATCACAACCTTGCGTGTGAATTCTGATGGGTTTGGGTAGGGGCTGGGGACACGTGGGGAAAGTGCTCTGTGGACCTGTATGACATCCATGAATCTCAGACTCACTGGAGCTGGATGCATTCTGGAAGAGTCATCCTGTCGCCTGTGTTGCTAAGCACGTTCCTTGATGTGTGGGCGTGCTCTGGGTGGCTATTTACTACACACTATAAAAACTGTTTGGCTATGTAATGGACCATGTATATATGACAAATCAACTATTTTAAACACAGCTTGGGTGTGAGTTGTAACCTTGTATGCAGCCACATTACCTTGGTCTGCTTTCTTATCCCCTGATGGCCTCAGACTCCATGTGTGTGTAAAGGTGACCTAACCTCTCATAGAATTAATTATTGAGGGTAAAATGGGATGAGGAATATTGCCAGGTTTTGTAAACTATAGACTGCCACACAAATGCTCTGTGTCAACGTTCATGCTAAAGCCAGTCTGCACTTTCAGAATGAAAATTTCTTTGCTATTTAAGGCGCTCATTGCAATCGGTTTAAAAAGCCAAGTATTTGTCCACAAACTTAGCCCTAAAGCGATGCTCCCAAAGACTCATGGTAGCTTATGAGGGCCTCTCGTTTTTTTATTGGAAAGGTTCCAAATTGGAAGCAGATATTGATTTCCTGGAGGCAGAAGCGGCCTGCCTCTACAGAGTGGAGGTGCACCCTTCCTGGAGACACCTGCCTCTCACCTCCTCCCTCCGCTAGACCTCAAAAGTGTGAATAGACCGCACAGCTTTTGAGGAAGCATTTGGAAAACTCACTAGAACTTCCCTATCTTTGGGGGGGGAGAACATGGGGTTAGTGCACCATTCATAACATAGTTACCCCAGGGATGTTTTTATTCTATCACGGCAATGTTCTGCAGATGGTTGTGTAGTGTTTTGAGGGCAGAGGGTGATTTCCTAATTTGCATAAAGAGCCACACGGGCTAACGGGGCCTGGGGGTGCCAAGAGGGAGGGAGAGTGGGGTACACGAAGACGAGATGGTGGGGAGAGGGCAGCAGGGCAAGAGGCAGTAACTTCCGAGGCCTAAGGGCCTCTGCAGAATGGAAATGAAATTAGATCACCCTCAACCCGCCATCCTTGAATCCAGGGAGAGCTTAGGGCCATCATGTATGAAATGCACACATTCCACTAAGAAAATACACACTGAAGAGTTTAACCCATCTTGATTGTAGATTCATTTCACCTTTTTTCTCCCAAATTCTGGTCAGCAAACTCTGGTCTGCTCCCAAACAGTTGCACAAGTCCACACTAAGCTGTGCGAATGGGACCTGCCGGCGACCCCTCCTGAAAATGCCGCCCAAGGGAATCATGGGAGCTGTGGACGGCATCCAGCAGGCTTGTCCCACTGTGCGCTCCGGAGCAAACCAAGCGCTACTGCAGACGGGAAGCAGTGCATGGTCTGTGCCTGGTGCTTGTTTAAGGTGATAAACCTTAACGTTGTTGCTACAGGAAGCTTAAGAAATGTGCCTCCTCATCCATTCTCTATCAAATAGACCACTAGCCGCACTGACGTTTCTAAAGATGAGCAAGGGAAAACATATCCCTGAAATGGAAATTAGGAAAATTCCTTCAATTTGGTTTTGCTATAAGGCATCCACGGGAGCAGCCGTGAATATGTATGAGTAGTTTTCAAAAGGGACACCTGCCTTTACGTTTAAATGAAGTTAAAGCAAACACGAACCCATTGCACAGAATGCGGTGCCTTCCTAGAGGCAGAGAGCAGGTACTGTCAGATCGGGGCATGAATTTTGGCCTCAGCCATGGCTGGCACGGAGTCGTCTCAGGAAGCGAGGAGGTGTAGCGGGGTGTCCGCCTGCGCGGAACTACCTGGCCCAGGCAAAGCCCCAAGGCCTGGACTGGAGCAGCAGAGGGAGGAGGAGACGGCTGGGTTCCTCCAGGGCCCCTCTTCCCTAAAGCAGGTGACTCTATTAGCTCACAGGGAACATAAGAAAAAGCCGGACCTTCCACCTCCTGCTCCTCGCAGGGGTGAAAGCGGCCCGGGCTCTGTGCTTTTTTTTTTTGAGACAGAGTCTCACTGTGTTGCCCAGGCTAGAGTGCCGTAGCGTCATCCTAGCTCACAGCAACCTCAAACTCCTGGGCTCAAGCGATCCTCCTGCCTCAGCCTCCCGAGTAGCTGGGACTATAGGCATGCGCCACCATGCCCGGCTAATTTTTTCTATATATTTTTAGTTATCCAATTAATTTCTTTCTAATTTTAGTAGAGACGGGGTCTCGCTCTTGCTCAGGCTGGTTTCGAACTCCTGAGCTCAAACAATCTGCCCGCCTCGGCCTCCCAGAGAGCTAGGATTACAGGCGTGAGCCACCGTGCCCGGCCCTCTGTGCGCTTTTGAGTGCACGTGCACACACTGATGAGGGTTGGCTCGCAGTCCACAGCCCAAAGACTCGCTTGCTGTTAGGGACTCATGTCCTTGTGCGTCACTCGACCTCTGACACGCATTACTGTAACCCGGGCTGGAGAATGGGGCTCACACCCCAAGCCACACACATGGCCCGAAGCACGTACGTGGCCTTCTGGGCTAAGCACAGTCCCTGGGAAAGACTGTCTTTCCCTTGGGTGGCAAAGCTGGGATGGCACAAATTAGATCTGCCTGCACGATGTCTCCTGCCGAGCGGAGAAGCTTTGGAAACAACAGGCAGAGTGAGAAGCAGGGAGGAAAATGTTCTAGAAGCACAGGATCCCAGCCCCAGGACCCTAAAATCCCCCAGACTCTTCTCTTCCCTTCGGATCTTCTTTTAATCCTATAAACGACCTCATTGTCCTACTATTTAAATCCTGGTTTTACCCAAGTTGGGTTATAAGGGGAAGAATTAGAATACAGTATGCATCAAAGTTGTTTCCCAGCACAGGAAGAAAAAGAAATTATACTGGATGTCATTACCCAGGGAGCCCCCGGGGCCACACGCAGCGGCTGTACTTGTGACCCTGAGCTCCCGCGGTGCTCTGTGCCCTGCTGCCTGAGCGGCCCCTCCCTCGGCTCTGAAGACACCCTTCTCAGTGAGCCCTCGGGTTGGACGGGGACACCAGCAGGGGTGGGGCAGGACTGGGAGGTGCTGGCAGCAGCAGGGGAAGGGCACAGGTGAGCTGCGAGCCATGCCACGTCCTCGTCGCTGTTTTGTGTCGGCCACAGTGCTTGGGCTTCCACCTGGAGCTGGTGTCTTTCCAGGTCCCCTGGCCCAGGAGACAGGTCAGAGGGTGACCCAGCTCTGTGTCATTTGGAGCCCAGTATAAGGTGAGGCAGTCACACAGTGGGGACATTGGGCCCACCCGGACCACAACCCCACCCCATACGTGGGTCAGAAGCTGTTCTTCGGGAAGGAAAATGAAGGAGAAACTCACGGTTTGGGGGACGGGTCTGCACTCAGCATGGCCGTGTTGAGCTTTGGTTGCAGCGGGGTGTCCAGGAGATGGGCACGCAGACTGGAGCTCCCTAGACTTCAACGTGTGCCCAAATCACCTGGAATCTTGTTAAAATGAAGAGCCTCGTTCAGAAGGTCTCTGGTGGGACCTGGGATTCTGAATTCCTCACCTGCTCCCAGGGAATGGCCATGCGTCTGGTCCCCGGGCTGCACCGTGAGAAGCAAGGATGCAACCTGCTGGAAATGCAGGTCCGGAGGTCACTGCGGGAAGGGGGTCGCTCAGTGTAGGGGGCACAGCTGGAGCCTGAGAGCAGACAAGACCCCCCAGGAGAGGCCGTCCAGTGAGCGGGGGGACATGCTAGGCCTGAGCGGTGGGGAGGGTCCGAGCTGGCAGGTCCAGGGCAGGCCAGGAGGCAGAGAGGGTCAGAGGACAGCAGCAATCAGAGGGTGGGGGAGCCAGGGGAAAGCTGGGCCTGGAGTTTCCAGAAGGAGGAAGGGCTCAGCAGGGTGGGCTCTGAGGGGGCAGGTGGAGGAGAGGCTGAGCCCCTGCTCATTGAGTTAATCGTGCATTTCTCGTTTTGAAAGAATGGTTTCTTTTTCTGG